ATAATGGCCCTAGTTTAGAAATGGTTTGCCAAGCATGTTCAATTTAAAACCCTGTCAGTATTTCTACTTAGTTATGATGAGCCATCAGTAAGTGTGCCCATAAGCTGTCATAACATCTTATAACCGGTTTTAACAGCCCATCAGTCAGAACTGCTTACTTAGGACCTGTGGTGGGGGTTGAGGTCTGGCTCAGTAGACCTTTGAGAGGGAAGCGCTCCAGGAGCTTACGAACCATTAAACATTCATTAACTGAGTGAGTGAAAGAAAGCAAGAAAGAAAGAAAGCAGGAGAGAGGGAAAATGAGAGTGAACATATGTCAGTGAAATGAAGATGGGTTTATCTTGGTTGTCATTCATCCAGGTCATCATAGGATATCTGGCAGAATTAATTAATTTATAACTAGATCATCTTTCTCATTATTAACTCATAAGATGTTTTCATAGTTGACAATCATGAAAAAAATAGACATTTAACCTTTACACATTGACATCATATAACTGGAAGGAATTTTAACTCAGTTGTAAGGGAATTAATTATTATTAATTCATTCAGGTTTATTTCTAGCTCAGGTTTTAAAAGAACTCGATCTGAGAATTCGAGGTCCACCTGATCAAAACTGATTTTGACTTTAAATGGTTTACACTTTAAATCAAGGGTCGTCCAGCGAGTCGGTGATTCTCAGTATATTTTAACAAATTAAATATGTGTTTTCCTGGCCACGGTTAACACACTTATGATAATTTGTCAGCTCTTAAGAGAGAGGTAACGTTGATCTTGGCAAAGTTTTAACCTTGAAATTATATGACACCAGACAATTGATTATTTATAAATGAAACATGAATTTTTATTGGCTATTCTAGATTACATCAAACTAAGCTAAAACACACATACACACAAACATACAGTTTCAGAGGAAGGAAATTGTTAACGGAGTTCTGAGTTTCATAGTTCTACCTCGTTTTCACGAGTGATGTAAATTCACCTTAAGAATTTACAAAGCAGAGAATTTCGTTTTAAATTTTACTGCTTATCTAAATTCACCAGTTCAGCAGATTAGAGAGTTGTTCGTTTACTTGTGTTCTGCTGGTTGACAGCTGAGGTGATTCCGTGGCTGATGTGGGCTTCTGGGATGTCTCTGAGGGAACCCCGTTACTGATTGGTCGCTGAGGTGACGTCAGAATGACGTTTGAATGACATTCTTTTGGAAAACCCCTCGTTGGATTGGTTGGTCTTTGATGAAGCAGAGGCTTCAGCAGTTCTGCTGAAAGTCTTAGTTTGCAAGACTTTAAGTTCTTTGAAGATTTCAA